GTTTGCTAGGGAATTTCTTTTCAATTCTAATAAATCGTGAAATGTATTTAATTACAGGAATATAAATATATAAATTTTGTTTGCTAGGGAACATTTTTTCAATTCTAAATCGTGAAACGTATTTAATTACAAGAATGTAATTAACTCTTCTATTTATACACCAATTTTGTTCTTCTCTCTTTTTGGATGAATCGATAAAAAAAAAAAACGAATATAAATTTCCAAATTTTGAATGGATATAAAATTGTTTTCCTACTTACGTAAATATATTATATCAACATATGTATTGAAACAAAAGAAGGAAAGGAAAGATGCTGTAGAAAGATGTATACGTATAAACAAAAATTCCAAATTCATCCCAAAACTAAAAAATCCTTTAGGTCCCGTGGAAAACGTGGGCAGCGTAGTGTGCCTTCGAGACATGCCAGATCTAGTGTTCGACCACATAGAGCTTATGCGAACGGCCCATCTCGAGGACAGACAGCTGTACTGGTTGCAATGCGCCATGGAGGAGAACTGCGTCGCCTCGCAGGCTTATAAAATTCAAAAGGAATCGGAAAACTGGCACTTGGAGACCAGGAGGCTTCTACGATTCACCGCGAGGATCTTGAACGCGGGAACCGCAGACTTCCGGCCGTCGGTGCCGAAACACCTTTGGGAGTGGCACATGTGCCATATGTGAGTGATTAATGAAACGAACTTGTTATTTTTCTTTTTTTTTTTTGGAAAGATTAACGAATCGTCAATCGTTTGCATGGAAGATGCAAATTTTTGTGGTTTTTTTCTCTTCTTGTTAAATTTCAGACATTTTAAATTCGAATATGCCTGAATATGTGAGTGATTAATGAAACGAAAGTTATTATTATTTTTTGGAAAGTTAACGATCAACGAATCGTCAATTGTTTAAATGAGATGGAAGAAGGGTGACAGTTTTTTTTTTTTAATGCAAATTTTTGGTGATTTTTTTTCTCTTTCTGTTAAATTTCAGTTCAATTTAAATTTGAACGGTACAAAATGTTTGGAAATTGTCTTTTACTGTTATATATATGGTCTATATTCGAGCATATATGATAGAAATTATTCAATTTTATAGGACAAAGTTTCAATCATAAAGTGGGATTCCCAAAGTTGGAGACTTAAAAATTTGATACAAGTTTCATTAAGTTATTACAAGCAGTTTTGTAATATTATCAAATGGGAAGAGAGGCAAGTAATAACTTGCCTCCTACAAGAAAATCTTTGATATTTCTTTCTTAAACTGCTCCCTTTCTTATCGTGATTTTCAATCTTTTCAAGTTTCTTCCTTCCAAAATGAAAATCTTGATTCTTGACTTCATCTTGACTGATGAAATTTATTTTATACCGTCATATTAAACTTTATATATATATATATATAATATTTAATCGAAATATTTAATTTAATTTAGCATATATCTCCTTTCTAATTCAATCTTATCAAAGACGATTAAAATTGATTTAAAGTTAATATTCAACGAAAAAAAACCTTCGAACCAATTTACTTCCAATAAATTCCGCTTTATTTCCATTGAAATCGATTCCCAGCCACACGAATAATATATCGAGAAGCTCGATAAAAACTTATGATTCATCCTGGATTAGTAAAGAAGTCTCGAAAAAAACGTATTTTCCAGTATCGAGTCGAAATCAATATTCGAACATTGAGTTAAATAAACACGATAATAACCATTTTGCGCAAATTATTATTTTCAAATTCGTTCAAAAAAATCATCAATTATTTTCAATACCTATAAATATTCTCAATCAGTGTAGCTAAAAAATTCTTTTTTCATCGTACGATCGATCTTTCATCGAACAAATTTAATAAACACTTGAATTCGCGTAGAAAAAAAAATTTTCGAAAATCCACGTTCCTGAACAATATATTTATCAACTGTTAAACGTTTCTTTGATAAATCGATCAATTTGTGACACTTCGATAGCGAAATAAGAATAACTTATGACCCATTTCGATCTACAATTCCTTCCACCCTCGGAGAATTTCTCCAGTTAAAATAGATTCAACATCGTTGCAATACGTTATGAGCCATATTGGATCAAGGAATCCACGAAACTCGTATCTTTAACACCCCCCCCCCCACCACGCAAAAGTTCTCTTCAGTGAGCCAAAATCGATTCGTAGCATTCGAACAAGATGCGTATCTTTGCAAAAATTCTTCCAAGCAAATTAAAATCGACTTGGCGTCTATTTGACAATACGTTATATTTCAAAATGTTTCAATATCTAATTACAATTCGTCGTATCTTCAATTCCCTCCCACGCGAAATTTCTTGCGGACAATTAAAATCTATCCTCTCGAATATTCATCATCAAACATTCAATAATTTGACGTAGGATAAATTATATTATTCTCGATAATTCATACATATTCGAATAGAAAGTTGGTATTGAATTTATGATAAAAAAATCTCTCCAAGACATCGTTAACAAACTCTTCCATGAATTAAGATACACTCAATAATCCAATATGAAGGTTAGAGAATGAAAACTGAGGTGGAAAATAGAACTTTTAAAAATTCATCCACCAAACAAATTCCTGTGAATAAGATTCCTTAAGAAACTTTCAGAATTCTGATTTTCATCCAATCAAAAATCATACTACTTTGAATTTCATGCTGGAAAGTTGAATTCGATAAAAAGATCAAGATCCAAGACACATATCATTAACAAACCATTAAAATGTCTTCAGAGAATCATACTGATATATAAAATTAAAAAACTATTCTTTCCTCGAAATCAATCAATTTATAAATACGAATTTCAAAATTCTTCTAATTCTTCTCTCAGATTATAATATTTATAAATACAAAATTCTCAAATATAATCTATGCGTTCATACATTCACTCACATCATTATTTCTGTGAATCTCCATTTCTTAAGATTCCTTTCTTAAGAAACTTCCAGAAATCTGATCCAGAAATCAAACATAAAATGAAATAAAAAGTTGAAGTTTTGAATTTAAAAAAATCCTGCCATTAAAATTTCTTTGGAATATTTAAATTGAGATTAGAGAATCATACTGATACATAAAACTATTCTCTCCTCGAGTAAGAAACTTTCAGAATTCTGATTTTCATCCAATCAAAAAATCATACTACTTTGAATTTCATGCTGGAAATTTGAATTCGATAAAAAGATCAAGATCCAAGACACATATCATTAACAAACCATTAAAATGTCTTCAGAGAATCATACCGATATATAAAATTAAAAACTATTCTTTCCTCGAGTATCAATTTATAAATACGAATTTCAAAATTCTTCTAATCTTCCAACACTTACCTATCAAAAAAACTATTCTTCTCTCAAATTAATATTTATAAATATTCTCAAATATAATCTCTCCATTCGCTCACTCCATTCCTTAAGATTCCTTAAGAAACTTTCTGATTTTCACCCAATCAAAAAATCATACAAAAAAATACAAATCCTGCGATTAAAATTTCTTCAGTGAAAAATATTTAAATTGAGAATCATAAAAACTATTCTTCCCTCAAAACGTCGATAATTGTAAAATACGAACCATCTTAAGAATCCCTTAAGAAACTTCCCAGTCATCCAAAATCGATTCGATCCCCCAAGGACTGGTTTCCAACCAAAGCATTTTGCATCGGGGCCTCTCTCGATACACCTCTTCCCCCGTCGATCATTAATCCCGCGGTTGTTAACGACAGGCATTACCACTCGATGGAGGTGTTCGCCACGTTCGACGTGTTGGACCTGAACGGGACGAGGCTCGCGGAGGGGCACAAAGCGTCCTTTTGCCTGGAGGACAATCAATGCCTGCCCGGTGTGGAGGCGAGGTAAATGCAATTAATTAGGGGTCGAATTAGGGGTCGGTTCCTCCGCGTACAGGGTGTTGATATATTTCCAAGTTTTTACTTATCTAAACGCAAAAGAGTTGAACCAATTATTGGTCTAATTGGAGCGGGGGAACACGACAAACGCGAATTATTATAAGTTGAAAGGCGCAACACCCTGTATGCAGCCTCGTGATCGTGAAAAAGATATCGTGTAATTGGGGAGCCAATTAAACGCGACGGGCGTGATGCGTGATTTCAGGTACAAATGCGCCAATTACGGTGACCAAGGGATCTCCGTGAATTGTAGCGATATATACAGGCACAACATCGATTGCCAGTGGGTGGACATATCGGAGCTTCGCCCCGGGGAGTACATTTTCAAGGTATTCCCGCTCGAAAATTTTTGATCGACGGCCAAGAAAGAGAGATCCATTAACGAGCTTCCTTCCATCTCTCTTTCGATGGTTTTTTATTACAACGTCGTCCCCTCTCCCCCTCGAAATTGTGATCGAGATCGATATTTTCAGGTCGGCGTGAATCCTGAGTTCAAAGTGGGCGAGATGTCGTTCGACAATAACGCGGCAATTTGCCGCCTTCTCTACACCGAATCGTTCGCAACTGTGCACAGTTGCGTCATGGCTCGTCCTTGACATCCCCCTCCCCACCCCCTCGTTACGCCAGGTCATCCTACAAGCGGCGCCATTTTGAAGGAGTAACGATCTCTCTTCAACTTGCGAGAAACGTTTCGAGAGACGAATTAAAAAAGAAGGATATTCCATTTCAATAAATTGTTAATAGTTTATTCGATTAGTTTTGAAATTAATGATAATGATAAATCTCCATTGATAGGGATTTATCCTTAAACGATAATTAAAGAGGAATTGATATGTAATGGAATCATAGTGTTAAGAATATCTGAGTATATAAGAAAAATGGATCGAGTGGATCGACACTCGACCCATTTTGAATTTCAATTGATAATAAAAGCGTGTGCACTCGTTCATTAAAATTGGGACGAGATTATTCTAAGTAAGTATAAATTCTTCGACTTCGGAGGGTAATTCACGCGAGACTTCATTATCATTGTACACAAATCGACGTCCAGATCGCGCGACCAGTCGAGCAGGTTGAATAGCACCGCAAACTTGTGGTGTTTTTGCCAGTCGAGCGAAAAATTTTCAAATTCTCTCGTTTGATTGAAATTTTAAATTTATTCCACATCGTTATATTAATAATTCCGGTATTGATAATTTCGGAGGGATAATTTCTTGGAATTTATTTATTACACTTTCATCCTTTCTCGTTCGAACGAATAATTAATTTCGAGGAAGATTTTGTTTTTTTAAAGGGGCGAACAAAGCGCTTTTTAGAAATATTAAAAATTCCGTTTGATAATGGCACAGTTTTTGCGCCATCGCTCGGAGGATTGGATGATAGAAAAATGGCGTTGAGAGGGGAACAAGGGGCCTTTAAAACTAGGTCATAGTTCTTTTTTTTAAACCAGGAACCTTGTCACCTTTGATTACTCGTAATTTGATAATTAACAACGTCGTTTCAGTTTTCGCGAAACAGGGATCTTGATTGTCGATCGAGCCGCTCGTTTGCTTAGAAATTTAAATTAGATACACTGCTCTTCCTCTCTTCCTATTCCTTTGCTCCAAAAAAAAAAAAAATAACATACCTTCTCAAAAACCATCGCCAACTCTACTAAAATATATTGTTCATTAACTTAGAAAACTGACTTGTTGAGCTTTCAGAGAATTCGCCGATAACAGATAGCGATTAATTTTCATTTAAAATTTAAACGGGACAAAATCCTCAAATTCGAGAGGAATTTTCAAATTCGAAAAGATCGACAAGCCCGATCGAGTTCAAATCTCGAGTTTAATCAACAGATTAACTGGAGGGCCCAGGACGTCGACACGGAACTGGGTTACCCTTTCGTCCGGCCGCTGTCGCTTTCGATCATCGGGGAGGAGGGGCAGAGGAGGAAAAAGAGGGCCATACGCGTCTCTGTCAAGAAACACAGTGTGGAGGCCTCGGCTGTCAATTAGGCCATACGTGCGCCGCTTAAATGGCTGCAGACCTCAACGTGACTGAACGTGTAATACGTTTAGAAGGGGGAGGGCCCGCGGTATGGCTTCCTCGGTGGTCACTGCCGGTGTGCAGTGCGCGCCAGCTGCTCCCCAAAGCGCACCGGTCACTTTATATACCACACTGTTACTTACTTTGCCACGTTATACATTGCCGAAAACAAAACGGCTCAGTCGGACTTCACCCGCCAACTTTGCCTCCTCGGATGGAGCGATAACACGAGGAGGAGAGGAGGATTCGAAATGGTGATTGGTGAGGGACGTTGATTTTCGCGAATTTTGGCAAACGAATGATTCGTTTGGCCTGTTGAGAGGTTTGGTGATTTTTGGCGGTTAAGGATTGACACCCTGGATGGAGATTTAAAGGTAAACGGAGGGGGATTTTGTTAGCGGCAAATTTATTTTCGGGTGAGTTATGCTTTAGATTAATTGTAATTATAAGCTAAGTAAGTGAGCAAAATATGTTTTTAGTTTCTGCTAATAATAGCAGTGTTCTTATGAATCGTACGAGGGTATGCAAGCAGGTGGAGTAAATTTTTAACGAGAAAGTCATAATCAATAGTGAGTCATTCTGATTCAGCGAGGAGCACCTATTTTCGTATTGATCCAATACGAATCGAATTTATCGATCGTCGAGGAAATATTAGTTTTTGAAGTAAATTTTTTTCGGGCAGAATTCTTTTCGTTTCTACAGGATGAGAAAAATTATTGGATAAGTCTTACGTTAAATATTAGATGGGTACGTGTGTTGTGACACGCCGTTCTTTTTCCAGAGATCGATAAATCTTCAAACAAAAATGAAAAAAATAAGGGAGAAAAGAGGGAGGCTGTAATTAGAGGCAAAAATCCCTCGATTCGTGGGATCGAAACTTTCAATTTTTCTATGCCAAGTTGTTGGAAAATAAAAGAAAGAATTGGAAAAGTTGATCGATATCGATGATTTTCACTTAAATTTCAACGAGAAAGATGAAAATAAATTTATTTGATCGAATGACCAGCGTGTTTCCCAAAAGGGGAGGAAAACGAAAGTTTTGACAGAGAACTCGATCAAAGTTGTGTCATCCCGCCTCCGGAGATAAACAAACCTCTCTGAAATCGAATCTCGCGGATCGAAAACAAAAAAAAAGAAATAAATAAATAAAACAAAACACGCCTCTTCGAGCGTCGATCGATCAATCCAAACACTCGTTCGAAAAAATAAGGATTTTGATCGAATCCAAACACCTCCTCCCGCTAAATCGGATTACAATTAAGAAAAAGAGATTATCAAAGTTCAAAGACAAGGGAAGAACACTTACGACGAAATTCTACAACGGAAGAAACCTGACCGATACCAACAGTATTATTATCCAACCGATAAATTCATTCACCGTTCAGGGGTCAATAAAAGTTCGAGGCAAAATTTATATTTAATTGAACCAATTCCCAAAAGGAAGGGGGAAAAAAAAACCTCTTTAATTAAATTTTGTATAAACATTTACAAAAGATTACGTTTCAGCTCGAGAAACATGATCATCGACTCCATCTACCATCTACTCGCTCGTCCCTAGATCAGAGGATAAAAGAATATCGGCGAAGATGGAAAAATATCGATCCGAATAAATTGGGATGCAGTTGGAAAAATGCTGGTGACAATCGGTTCCACGACGTAACGGCCAGAATCTTGCAAGACTCCTTCCAAGGGGTCGAAGCGAAATCATGAGTAAGAAAGAGGGGGTGGAAGAGGAAATGGGAAGAGCACAGGTTGATCGAAGGGCACAGTTTTGAAGGGGCACGGTTGTTATCGATTAAACACAAGGGCGTTCGAGAAATTCGGCTGCCCCTCGTTCTTTATAGCAGGCATGGCGTCGTCCAAGTTTCTAGTGATTTTTCTCACCGCGCTGCGCACCGTTCTAGGGACAAAAGACGATCTCGACGATCAGAGCATGTGCTCGAGGAACAGAAGTCTGCTCGAGATCCCCGGCGACGCTGTTCTATCCGGTAAAGAGAGTTAGAAAAATTTTCATTTTATCAACGAATCGTCCGATTCTTCGTTATATATTATGCGTATTCAGTGTTCCTGAATATCAATCACGGCCCCTATTGCAACATCACGAGCGGCAAAGGGTTGCAGGAAGTCGCTACCGCCTCCTACGTGGTGCATCTATTGAACGAGTACGAGTTCATCCCTGGATTCTCGTTGGGTGAGCATCTTTGTGTATATCCGATCTTGTGATTGAAATAGTTGAAAAAGGTAATTCGATCGTTGGAAAGGTTTGAAAATCTTCGACACTTGTTTCGACGAGACGACAGTGTACAAACAAGCGTTGCAAGCGAGCGTGGACGCCGATTGCCGCACGGATCGCTACGAGATGGGTGTATTGTTACCGGCCGAGTACGCGACGATATTGGAACCGCTGCGCAATTACAGCGTGTTGCCGGTCGCAACGTACGACGAGCAAAACTTGACCAGGCCGTTGATCAATCTGCTGGTCCATTATCTGAGCACCAGGTTCGAGACGGTCGATCTCGTTCTAGCCAGCCACGATTCCCCGTTGAACGTGTTCCTCGACGCAGCCAGGGAGGCGGGGATCTGCGTGAAGAGCTACGGGACGGACAGTTTGGCGGTGGAGGGGGGCGAGGCGGAACCGGTGATCGCCGCGATCGGGCGGAGGAGCGATATTCGACAGTGGATAGAGAGGGGGGAGAAGCTGCAAGAATCGAGGAAAACTTGGATAGCGTTGCCCCTCGACGGATCGAACGTCGACGGTGATTTTCCTCTCTTCTTTTCTTCTTCAAACGAGAAATTCAATCTCAAAAGTATAATTATACGTGTAAATTCTTTTCTCACCGCGCTGCGCACCGTTCTAGGGACAAAAGACGATCTCGACGATCAGAGCATGTGCTCGAGGAACAGAAGTCTGCTCGAGATCCCCGGCGACGCTGTTCTATCCGGTAAAGAGAGTTAGAAAAATTTTCATTTTATCAACGAATCGTCCGATTCTTCGTTATATATTATGCGTATTCAGTGTTCCTGAATATCAATCACGGCCCCTATTGCAACATCACGAGCGGCAAAGGGTTGCAGGAAGTCGCTACCGCCTCCTACGTGGTGCATCTATTGAACGAGTACGAGTTCATCCCTGGATTCTCGTTGGGTGAGCATCTTTGTGTATATCCGATCTTGTGATTGAAATAGTTGAAAAAGGTAATTCGATCGTTGGAAAGGTTTGAAAATCTTCGACACTTGTTTCGACGAGACGACAGTGTACAAACAAGCGTTGCAAGCGAGCGTGGACGCCGATTGCCGCACGGATCGCTACGAGATGGGTGTATTGTTACCGGCCGAGTACGCGACGATATTGGAACCGCTGCGCAATTACAGCGTGTTGCCGGTCGCAACGTACGACGAGCAAAACTTGACCAGGCCGTTGATCAATCTGCTGGTCCATTATCTGAGCACCAGGTTCGAGACGGTCGATCTCGTTCTAGCCAGCCACGATTCCCCGTTGAACGTGTTCCTCGACGCAGCCAGGGAGGCGGGGATCTGCGTGAAGAGCTACGGGACGGACAGTTTGGCGGTGGAGGGGGGCGAGGCGGAACCGGTGATCGCCGCGATCGGGCGGAGGAGCGATATTCGACAGTGGATAGAGAGGGGGGAGAAGCTGCAAGAATCGAGGAAAACTTGGATAGCGTTGCCCCTCGACGGATCGAACGTCGACGGTGATTTTCCTCTCTTCTTTTCTTCTTCAAACGAGAAATTCAATCTCAAAAGTATAATTATACGTGTAAATTCTTATAAATTTTCAAAAATATTCTCCCAGACCAGAAATTCAATCTCAAAAGTATAATTATACGTGTAAATTCTTATAAATTTTCAAAAATATTCTCCCAGATAAGAAATTCGATTCAATCAATATATCGATATAATCAATAAATCAGTCTCAGAAATATAATTATAATAAATTTTCAAAAAAATATTCTCCCAGACCAGAAATTCAATCTCAGAAGTATAATTATACGTGTAAATTCTTATAAATTTTCAAAAATATTCTCCCAGATAAGAAATTCGATTCAATCAATATATCGATATAATCAATAAATCAGTCTCAGAAATATAATTATAATAAATTTTCAAAAAAATATTCTCCCAGACCAGAAATTCAATCTCAGAAGTATAATTATATATGTAAATTCTTATAAATTTTCAAAAAAACCCAGATAAGAAATTCAATCTCAGAAATATAATTATATATATAATTGTTATAAATTTTAAAAATATATATAAATTATAATTATAAATTTTAAATTATAAAAAAATATTCTCCCAGACGGGAGATTCAATCTCAGAATTATAATTATATATATAAATTTTCAAAAAAATATTCTCCCAGACGAGAAATATATTAATTCAATCAATATAATCAATAAAATCAATCTCAGAAATATAATTATATATTGTTAAAAATTGTTATAAATTTTCAAAAAAATATTCTCTCAGACGAGAAATTTAATCTCAGAAATATAATAACATATATAAATTCTTATAAATTTTCAAAAAAATATTCTCCCAGACCTGGTTCCTTCGGGCTCGTACGTGGTGAGGACGAGGTCGCCGCTGGACCCGGACCTGCTCCAAGACGCCTCGTCACCGCACCCGTTCCTCGAGGCGGTTGGGGATCCTGTGACACATTCCCCTCATTTGCTCGGCGTGGGCAAGGCCGTGCTCGAGCTTGCCCAATTGCTGCAAGACATCCGTAAACGGAATTGTCCGCGAGTCGCCGGAGTTGACGGAGCGTTGTGCGCGATGCAACGTTTCAACCCTGCCTCGAGGCAGGAGGTGAGAAACGCGGACGTGTACGCGGCCCTCCGCGTACAGGCGAAGTCGATCAGGTACGCGGTGGCGATGAAGAGCCAACGAGACGACGTGGTCGACGTGGCCACGTACAACGTAGAGCCGGAGAAAGTGAAGTTCAGAGTGTGGCCCGAGTCGAGGATGCCCAAGATGGCCAGGCTGTGTTTGAGGAAGTACGCGAGCAACTGCGACGGGTGCGCCAATTTCAAGAGAAGATTCGGCCCTCGTGGCGCGAGCAAAGGTAAGTTCGTTTCGTTTCGATAATTGGAAAGAGAACGATTGTGATATTTCTTTTTCCTTTTTCTCATCAATTCAATTGAGAAGGAATGAAATTTTTGGGGAGAGCTTCGACAATAATGATCAAAGAAAGAAACTTTTAACTTTTAAAGCAAAAAAAAAAGAAATGTATGAAAAGATATTCCCCAATCACTGGGATGTAATCTTGAAAAAATTCCCACGAACAATTTCAGAACTCTTCTCTCCAGCCAAAAAATTCCAATCAAAAAATAAATACGTCATAATAAACGCTCAATCAAAGAAACTCTCGAGAGAATCCCAACCGACGCATCATCCTTTTCAAAATGGCGGCTCCTCTCTGTTCCAGACACGCTCGACAGGGGTCTGCTTAAGGCTGGCAACTGGATACCGATCTTCCTGACGGTGGCCGTGTGCGGGACGTTCGCCTGCGGCGCGATCGCCGTCTTCATCATATACCGTTTCATGGTCGAGGACGTCCTCGACGGGAATCCGGTGTTGACCATCGCCCTGATACTCGCCAACGTGTTCACACTGCAAACGGTGCTCCCGTTCTGCGTCAACGACGACTATTTAGGCGCTGAACGGTTGAACTCGAGGAAGATACTCGCGACGACCCTCGCCTTCGGGCTCGACTTCTCCCTCATGTTGACCAGGGCCTTCTTCCTCGTCTTCTCCAAGGGCGGCGTCTTCACCGCCCACATCAACGGCCACCTCCAAGGATTGATGGTGTTCTTCATGTTCTTCGTCCAAGTCGCCATATCTGTCATGTTCTTCACCCTCAGCACACACGACTCGGCCGTGGTCATGAGAAGCCTCATTTTCATCGCTCTTCTGGGTAATAAAAATTTCTCCCCAAAAGAAGAAAACGTAAAATAAAGAGAATTCGTCGCGTAGGATACGATATATTCCTGCTGGTCACGCTGTTCATCGTGTGCTTCTTCATCTTCCAACTGCCGCGCAATTATCGGGAGGGGAAGTGCTTCTTCGGCACGTCTATCGGCCTGTTGATCGCCTGGGCCGTCTGGCTCACCTGCTTCATCCTCGTGGAGCCGGAATACCGCGACACCGTGGTGTCCCTCGGCATCATCTCCACGGCTTATCTCATCATCATTGGGATACTGATACCGAGGACGTATTACATGGTCACCCATCTTGCCAGGGGGAAGAAGTTCGGCCAGAGATTCGGATCGACCGATCTCGCGACCGACTCCAGGATCGACACCAGGCAGGTCGGAACGATTTACTATTTCTCGTATCTCTTTTCTCATCCACTATGATATAAAAATTTTTGTTACCTCTTTACTTATTCTCGATTTGTTCGACGATGGTCAACAATCTTTTTTACGATTTTTAAACCCTTTGCACTCGTATTTATATTCAAGAAGATTATCGATCAAGGTAACGAAAGTCCCTAGAATGTAAAATGTAATATAAACGTACGAGTTTATTTATTCGTAATTATCGATTTGTTCGATAGTGAACAATCTTTTTTAAACTCTTTGCACTCGTATTCAAGAAGACCATGGATCAAGGTAACAAAAGTCCCTAGAATGTAAAATGTAATATAAACGTACGAGTTTATTTATTCGTAATTATCGATTTGTTCGATGGCGAACAATCTTTTTTAAACCCTTTGCACTCGTATTCAAGAAGATTATCGATCAAGGTAACGAAAGTCCCTAGAATGTAAAATGTAATATAAACGTACGAGTTTATTTATTCGTATTTATCGATTTGTTCGATAGTGAACAATCTTTTTTAAACCCCTTGCACTCGTATTCAAGAAGACCATGGATCAAGGTAACGAAAGTCCCTAGAATGTAAAATGTAATATAAACATACGAGTGCAAAGGATTGTTATCTTATTCGTAATTATTGATGTGTAATTATCGATTTGTTCGATGGCGAACAATCTTTTTTAAAAACCCCTTTGCACTCGTATTCAAGAAGATTATCGATCAAGGTAACGAAAGTCCCTAGAATGTAAAATGTAATATAAACGTACGAGTGCAAAGAGTTAATATTCGAATCACACGATTTCAATTCCTGATTAAAAAATAGAAAAAAGAATACCCGTTTCTCGACGAAAAATTTTCTACGAACGAGCGATGAAAGGAAAACTTTGTTCGAGCAGAATCGCCCGTTTTACGACTACGTGCACTCCGGCGGGGGAAGCACGGCCAATTTGCACGTGACGCCCACGTATCCAAACTATTACGGGAGCTCGAGTCCAAGCCAAAAGTATCTGGCAACGACCAACAGAAGAATTCCAGGATACAACAATTACGGATACCATTCGGAGATGCGAGAAGTGAATAACTCTTACACGATACCTCAAGTCTGCATCGAGGATGCGGACGTGAGATTTTTTTTTAACAATATTTTTCCACCTAGTGAATTTTTTTCACCTAGCTTTCATACAATCACAAAAATAATTATCTGGCTAATTGTTCAATGCGTGAAAAATCTTGAAAATAAATTATACGATAAATGGGGAGGGGGAGGAAAAATTTTTCAAATTATCAACAATTTCTTCCTTCCTTTCTTTTATTGCTTTCACGAATTGGTTAAGGGAATTACATTTCCAGTCAAGAATCGACGGGAACGCGACTTACGCGCGGCCGAAGAGCAACCGGAAGCGGAGGACCAAAGGCGAGAAGGATTGCGTGGAGACGGACGTTTACGTGGAGGGAAGCGTCTCGTGTCGTAGATCGAACAACGAGGCGTATCCCAGCAGGTCCAACAGCCCCAGGTTGACCCAGGTAGAGGCGATTCGCGAGGAGGAGGAGAACGAGGAGACGAGCAGGATCACTCGATTCTGAACGACGATCATGGAGTGGAGTGGACACGATTTCGAAAGAAATCCTCGACGAGGAGCATCTTAAATTTCGCCGCGTGCCTTGTCTTCGATCCTGATCGAGATTTCGATTGAGACGCACGTTTGTATTTATTAGGAATTGTACCGATATATCTTTAAATTTATCCAAGTAAATCTAGTCAATGAATATAGTGTGCAAGTTTCTTCTCAACTGTTGTGTTAATAAGATTGATTACGATATAAAGGAAGAAGAAATCGTGGGTGAGCTAGTGAAAAGAAATGAAAAATACGAAGAATTGAATGAACGTATAAATGAAAAGTATTGCGTGTATTTATCAATACGTTTGTAATTCGTTACAAAAATGCATAAAAACGTGTAAGATGAAAGAAAAATATTTCTTTGCAGCCTTCTTTCTCTAAAAAGAAAAAATATATATATATCGTAATATGTGAAATTTTTATTTATTTTTTAATTATTCTCTCTCTCTCTCTCTCTCGTTTTCTCTCGTTTTCTCGAAAAGTTTGACAACGATACAAATCGTTACCTCGTTCCAAACCGTTCAATCGACTTTCGCGATAAAACGGAAATCCTGTCTGTCGGCCATTATCGGCGTAATTAAAGTACAAAACGAGGTGAGCCAGAGAGGGTCCCTTTTGCACGTGGAAAGGACCAGCGCGTGCGAGAGAAGCAATTTCGCGTGTTCCCCGCCGAAATTGCATTATGGTCGATCGTAATTCCGCAATCGGGGGCACAGGTGCAGGAATATCGATGCCGTAACCGGAAACGCGGACGATGGAAACGCAACTCATGGAAAATTGAGAAACCGCTCGAAACCGAGAGAATTAATTTTCTTTTTTCTTTTTTTTTTTTCCTTTTTACGTCGAATCCTTTATCTTTTCATCCTGAGAAATTTGTCTAAAATTTAGACGAAATTTCAATGGAGTCTCAAGCGTGGAAAATTTCCAATTCCAAGATTTAGAATTTCTAAATCCGGAAAAAGGATAAATTTAATCGATCGACAAAAATTAAATCTCGAAAAAATTAGAATAGAAGTGAGAAATTTTTCTAAAATTTTTCGAAGAGAAATTTCAACAGAGTTTCAAAAACGGAAAATTTTCAAATTCCAAAATCTGAAATTTCTAAACCCAAAAACCAATCGACAAAAATTAATTCTCGAAAAAAATTGTAGAGGTGAGAAATTTTAAAATTCTGTGAATTAAAAATAATTATATGGCGATAAAAAAAATTTCCGGACCCAAATCTGAAAAAATCGCTTCTCCACACAAAATTCCCAAATTTAATCGACGAAACTTTCAACGAAAGAAAACATCTCATACAAATTTTCAAATCTCCTCGAGAATCTCCTCAAAACTCCAAAGAGAGAGAGAGAGAAGAAAGAAATTCGTCCAAAATGTATCTCTAGAGAGAAACGCACGATCGAGCGATTCTCCGATTTATTAATTCCGCATCATGTGGCCAGCACCGAGCGCGCGTGAAAAATAATGAAAAAGCCTGGCCTGGCTCGATAAGCCGCCCCGTAACGGCAATAAATCGAAAAGTGCATCGGCTCGTGAAAGTCGTGGATGGAGAGAGGCCGCGAGTGCTCGCGTTTTTCAGAAAGAGCAGGTTCTGCGCAAGGATGGCGGAGCAGAGGATCGCTATAAAAGCGGGATCGGGACTGGCACGGTTTCCAGTCACGTATACAACCCTGTATCGAGGGAGGGAATCGAATATCCTTTCTGCGCGAACGAAAGGGGAAAATAAACGAAATCCACGCTCGCCATGTAAAGGAGGGAGGGAGAGAGAGATACTATGTCCTTGGAGGAGTGCAGGTCGTAACGGTGCAGTGGAAGATGATGACGGTGGAGAACGGGAGGCTTGCCCTCGTCGCTGTCGTGTATCTCAGCCTTTTCCTTGACAACGTGTTGCTCACTGTCGTCGGTAAATTATATAAAAATCCGTTTTCGATCGGAGAAAATCGAGTTATTTTACAAATTTTGAGGGAGGGAAAAAATATTTTCAGTGCCGATCATACCCGATTACCTTTGCACGCTGGATGGGAATTCGACGGGGAACGTGGGTGAGGACGACGAGAATGGCCGGTGGGTTTGTTATTGAGCTCAAAGGCGCTCGTCCAATTAATATTGAATCCGGCGGTGGGCACTTTTACCGGCACTCTGGGCTACACCAAGCCGTTGCTTCTCGGAAACCTCAGCCTCTTATTGGCGGCAACGCGTAAGCTCTCGTTTCCCTGAACACAGCCAAAATTTCCAAATCCCCCTTTCCTTCCTTACCCTTTATTTTCTTCACCTTTCTCTTCTGCGTTGCGAAGAGAGGCTATCTATCTTTGCAGTGTTCGCGTTCGGCCAAACTTACGAGCTGCTGTTCCTGGCACGAAGCGTCCAAGGCATCTCGTCCGCTTGTATCGGCGTTTCCGGCATGTCGCTGGTCGCCTCCCAATACCCGGAAGAGGACAAGAGGTCGAGGATCATGGGCTTCGTTCTTGGAAGCATCGCGCTCGGCGTCCTCGTCGGATATCCGATTGGCTCCGTTCTCTACGACCTCGAGGGGAAAATGGCCCCTTTCCTCCTCGTCTCTTGCTTCATCGTCCTCACCATATGTACGAATCTTTCTTTAATTTTACGATTTTTACCAGGATTTCACAGGTATGGGAGACAAGTTTCGTATTATGTAATACGTTCGAATTCGTTTTTAACCCCTTCCTGTGCCGCTTAGCTCGACGAGATCAGGACACAAAGAGAGCAGAAAAATGATGCTCGAAAACGGTTACGATAACGTAAATATAGAAATAAATGTGATATAGTTTTTTAATAAATAACACTCTTCTGAGCGTCTTTGAGCGCACCTTTGTTTTAAGGAATGTAATGATACTACGTTTAAAAATAAATAGCATATTATAAAAGTTTGAATCAATATCTAATAGGAAAATACTTACTCTAATAGTCCTGCAAGTCTTTGAAAACATTCTGATAGATGTAAAGCAAGCTACCGATTCGTGCTAATAAATTATTCGTGCGAAATAGGTTTTAAATAGGTTTCCTTTCTCCCTTCTTCCAGGTTTGCAGATTTTCGCGTTGAACGTGGAAACGAGAATCGAGGTAAGATGCCAGATCGATAAAGATTTTGGTAAAATCTTTTTTCGAAAACAACAATAATCGTAATTTTTAGTCGACCGATCGAGAAATCTCTTGGACGCACCTGTTATCAGACCCGTACATACTGATCATCTTTGGGGCGATATGGTGTTCAACGTCGCCAATGGCCATACTGGAGCCCTGCCTGCCGATCTGGCTACGAACTCACATAAAGCCCAAGGCAATCGTCCAATTTCCATTTACTTTCGATCGAGCTCGATAATTTCTTTTTTTTTTTCTTTTTTTTTTCGGTTCGAGAGACAGAAAAATTGCCTCTTCTTTCCAGAAATGGCAGCTGGGCACGGTGTTCATCCCGGACAGCGTAGGCTACCTGGTCGGGACCAATTTCTTTGGAGTGATAGCTTATCGCTATGGGCGAAGTAAAATCGCCGTTCTGGCCATGCTGTTGGTCGGGATTAGCGCCATTTTGATACCATCCTGCCGAACAATGTCGCAACTGATAGTCCCGCATTTGGGGATGGGTCTGGGTATCGGCGTGGCGGACGCTGCACTCGTCCCGTTGTTGGCCAGCCTCGTCGACCAAAATGGCAATTACGGGCCCGTGTACTCGATTCAACAAGTGGCCGTCAGCCTGGCCTACTCTCTTGGTAAATCGTCCGACTCTTTTTTTCTTTGAAACGAATCTTCGAAATCAGACTCATCGTTATTACCAATAAAATATTTCGACTCGAAGTTGTTGATATTTCAATTTTGCAAAATTTAAAATCTCAAAATAGATAACTTTTTCGCGAATAAATAATTATCTCTCGTTGTAGATTCTAAGCGTGGAATTTTTCAAACACGATCATCGAATATTTCTACTCGAAGTTGTTGGTATTTAAATTTTGCAAAATTTAAAATCTCAAAATAGATAACTTTTTCGCGAATAAATAATTATCTGGTGGAATTTTTCAAACACGATCATCGAATATTTCTATTCCAAGTTGTTGGTATTTAAATTTTGCAAAACTTTATTTCATATATATATATATAATAAGTCGAATAAATAATTATTTTTACAAGAAATAATTTACACGAAAGGAGGATTGGTTTAAGGGCCCATAGCGGGTGGAGAAATGGCGAAGACGATCGGTTTCCAATGGGTTATGCGAGTCATCGGGTTAATGAACGTTGGCTATTGCCCTCTGCTGATATACCTAACGCTGGAGAGGAGGAAATTATTAACCCAGCGGGATGAAAAGAGGGATTACGAGACCTTCCAGAAATCAGTGGCGAAATACGAGCGGTTCCGGGATTCTGACGACGATCTCTGATTATTGCCAAGATTGTATCTTCTATTTTATATAATTCCACGATAATCCCCTCTTTGTTAAATTAATCGAATTTTCGAATCGATACTCGGTGAGTGAAATAAATGGTTGGAAATTTTTGTCGATAAATAAATGTCGAACGATAAATTGTAATAGTGGTATTTAAGAATTTAAAATGATATCTTTTAGTTTCTTTTCTTTTAAGATTTAATCATATTTTTCGGTATAAAAAGTTGACTATTTTGACTATTTTCCAATAAATATATGTATACTTGTGGGATATTCGTTGCAATAAAAATCCCCGTAAATCCCCTAGACAAATATTAAATTCTTCCTACAACTTATATGAATTAAATAATCAATAATTTATATAATTTTGAGTATACGAATTCGACCAGTTGTCGAAATTAAAATTAAAATTAAATATCAATTTCAAACACCATAATCGATCGATATAATACAACCTAACCTAAAATTGATAAAAATGACAATTACCAGGAAATGTAACCAGAAAATTCTCGAGCGTTAATTCGTCTCTGTGTCGGTGATTTTCATGGACACCTTGTCCCGAATTCATCCCGTGGAACGTTGGGAAACAGCATTAACGACATCATTGTCCTTCCACCGAACCGCACCACGGGGACTAAGCTCGACGTCGTAAGTTATAACGAAGTAAATTACCAGAAATTGGTAAGTAACGTCCCGGGGCTGTTGAGCAACAGCGCCAGCTTTCTGAATCTAAATGAAAGCTAGAGGTAATTTTGAAATTTCGAAATTCGAACCGCCCTCCTCCCTTCTCTACCCTCTTTATTATTATTTTATTAATTTCCTCGCTAGAATTTTAACCTGATCAACCGAGTATTTACGCGCGGCTTGTTGATCAGAGATAATTTAATATATCAAGGGAGAAGAAGGAGTAATTATTTATTGGAAAATTATTAATTTCAAAAAGAGCAGTGAACAAACGATTTAGAAGGAAGTGAAATTAGGGGAAGACGAATTATCTTTTTACAAACTTTTACAAACAAATGAACAAATATCCTTTTGGTTGAGAAAACGACCAAAATATATAAGTGTTATAATTCGTTATCTTTCTATATTAAAAAATACCTATTTACAAAATTTCAATATTATCCTCCCTTCTTATTCTTCTGTCGTTGTTCGTGTCCAAAATTTCCTTTTTATTTTCGTCCGCGGTTCTCTCGATAAACGGAACTCGTGCTTGCCGCTAATCGAACGACTAATTATCCCTTAAATTGTTCACAAGTAAATTAACGATGCAATTACGTAGACGCGACGGTAATAACGTCAAAGCACCGATATTTAATAACGTGATCACGTGAGTTCCCTGGCTGGATTGAAATGGACAGTTGCATAGGGAAAAATGGATGGAAGAAAAGAAAAAATCGTTCTATATACGATATTAATTATTACATGTATATATATATAATTAATTTATATATATAAAATGTCAAAGGGAAATTTAAAATTGAATTTATCGGTTAAAAATAAAAGTCCAATTTCGTGGAAATTTAATTGCAACCTTTTGACGTCAAATGCGTTAAATGATAGCGGCGTCGATAATAATTAGTATTTTTAAAATTACAACATTGTGTAACTACGCTGATCAATAGTTGAAAAGAAAATATGTTATAGCTGTAATGAAAATAGAAAATTCATTAAGAATGCAAAATTGATCTTTCTATAATTAATTCAGTGTACAATATTACCTTGTTAGAATTAATGAATAATATTATTATTAAGCACTAGTTAAGCACGACGAGGGTTGTGTTTAAAAATTGAAAAAAAAAAAAAAAATTGCGGATTAAATTTTAAAATTTTTTCCGGATATGTAAACAGTTGTTAATTAAGTTTAGATATTGTAATGAGTTCGAGGAGAAGAGAAACGTTTCGATGATCGTCGCTTTAAGTTCATACTAAAAAAAAAAGGACTCCATTAACTTCAGCACCCGTCCAATCAATTATCTTTACTTTTATCTTTCATATCCTTTTCCACATCCCTTTTTACCACCCTTCGCCAAGATTTTATTACCTATTACGTTTTTTACGTCGCCTTCGTGGAAAGAAAAAAGAAAAAGAAAAAAAAGGCACAATATCATTGTTCAACCGAATAAAGAAACATAATTCAAAATTTGCTGGAAAGCGACGTTCGTTCGTAATTTTCTTTCACTCCCTTCCTGTTAAAAGGAATTATTTATAAAAAAGAAAATTGGATAAAAGTTGAACAAATAAAAAATTGGTTGATATCAATCATTTTATAATTAAGATTTAAAAATAATTTTTCACGTTTAATTTCGAGGATTAAAAAGTTTTATTAATTTTAAAAAATTATTTTACAAAAAACTCGTTATATATAAATAATTATTATTATTATTACAACAATGAAAAACGAAAATCAGTTGATTTAAAATAATTTGATTGAACATTAAATTTTTGATCGTTAATTATAGAATTTTAATTTTATATATAAAAATAAATTATCAAGGAAAAAATATTAAATTTAATTGATTGATAATTCAATATTCTTTTATTTTAAATTACAACAAATCAAATAATCCGCCCGGCGGATCAAAGTAAAAACGAAATATCCCCCCGTGAAGATCCATAAATTGGCATCACCACTTCCGGTCCACGGAAGAGATTATTAAACCCTGTGTGAATTAGCAAACGAATCGCGTGCAAGCCGATTAAACGTTAAGCCAGCAAGTCGAACGATCGTCGTAACCACCCTTAAGAAATATTAAATCCCTCCCCGGAGAGGGGTGGCTCGCGCGGTCGGATGACGTTAACGTCGTCGTAATACCACAATAATGTTGGTTAAATTATATTCCATAAATAGAAAATCGATGCTCGCAATCGGCCCGCCTCGAAATAAACTCAATGGAGGAGGGTTGAAGAAGGGGGATGGAGAAGCGTGGGTGCGAATTTTAGTAGAAATTTCTGGAGAAATACCCGCCACCCTGTTAATCCGTCCCCGGAGAAATAACCCCGGTTTGTACAGATACTCGTTTCTCTTCTTGCAATTGTAAAACGCGAGTCGTGAAGTTCGGTCGAGAATTCGATGAAATTAAATTCGAGGGAAAAAGTGTAATCCTCGTCGATTCAATTCTTATCAAATCTGTAGCAAAAAAAAGAAAAAAAAAGAAAAAAGTTTCTTCGAGCGCGAAAAAATTCGTTTGAAAAAAAGGGTTCATCGAGTATTCCTCCTCTTCGTTCTCCTCCTCTTTCGAATATCATCGGGGGATTAATTAAATGAAGAATGGAAATATACCGCAGGAGAGACGTTCGTTACGACTCGTATCACGAGTTTTATTCAGTTTCCTTATCGTGTACATATCGTTGGATCGGAGAAGATTCGAGGAAGACAGAGAGGTGGTGGTAACGTGAGGGTTTGAAAGATCTGGAAGATCGGATAAAATCAGGGCGGGTATTCGATCGGAATTCGAGGGTGGGTACCTCCTTCTTCGGTTTTTCTCAGTCGGCTAACGAGTCACTTTACGCCCTTGCTTCTTCTCCTCCAGTGTTCGAGATCATCCCCTTGGAACACGGCTGGTAAGAGCTTAAGCAAGAATGGGGGATGAAAAATGATCGGGGAAGAAGAAGGTGGAATGCGTTTCGTTCTCTTCTCTTCGAACAATCTTGATTTTGTGATTTCGATGATTGTTTAAATAACACATCGAACAAATTTGACTCTGCAATGAAACAACTTTGATCGGATCTTTAAACAGTTTCTATATATAAATATTTTCAGATAATAAACTTTTAGAATATTCTCGAGTTACCTTGAAACCAAATGTTCTCTCGAATAATCTACGAACGATTAAATGAACGTGATAAGATCTAAAGTACCTTTAAACGAGGCCATCTCTAGGAACGCCTACAAACGATCCTGAGATAACTTTCAAATGCGTACAACAATCTTAACGCTCGATCTACTAAAAAAAAAAAAAAAGAACCTCTGAATGCTCCCTGAACGACCTTGAAAGTATGATTCAAATGATCAATTAATAGATATATATATATTATCTTGCAAGGAATTTTAATAAAGAAGAAAAATGTTTCGATAATATCCAATTCAACAAATTTTCCACTCTCAACAACTTTGTTTACGATTAAAAGGCAGAACGAGAGAGAGAGTATAATCGATGCTATCCAAATATCCTTTAATTCCATCCTCATCGAGTATGACCTTTTGATATAAATCGAGTGGAGACCGCCTATTTATGTTAATTCCCCGACCATGGCTAACTCGGTTCTTATATGTATGCTATTTAAAACGAGATGTTAATCGAGACCCTTCTATAATAAAAAAGGAGAAATCTAATTTTGCACCACGCTAATTGAAACAACAATACCTTTCTCTGCAAGTTTCCTGTTTCGAGAGCCGTCGTTTGAAAAGTTGCGTTCGATTTAAAAAAAAAAAAAAGAAAGAAAAAGTTGCGTTCGAACATCTCGCGACGAATAACTTATTCGTTACGGGGTTGAAGCGCGTCTATCCGCTCTAAGAGGAGTGGAACATCCTGCTCGTTAAATATTTACGAGAGAATCCAGTTTTCGTAGGCCACGTGAAATTTTTATCTCGTTACTTATTTTATACGGACGAGACTCGAACGACAAATTTTTCTTGAAAGTAATATTTATTAATAGGAATGTATTCTCGAAAATATTTTTCATTTGCCTCGCTTCCAATTTCTTATATCTTTATCCAATTGTGAAAGTGGAAATGGACAAAATGGACTTTATTATATATCGTTTACGAGGAGGAAATATTCGTTCCTAGTGATATTTCAGTTGTATGCATAGGGAATTTTTAATCGACGATACTAGATTCATAAAACTAAACGTGAAATATAATTGAAAAACGAGGATTTCCATTTAAGATAACGTTGGTTTTGTATTGAAATTATTGAAAACCCCCCTTTATTCTTACTCTTCCATTACATTGCCATTGTTTGCCGTAAATTTTGCATCGCGTCAAGAGTAATAAAAAAAAGGCTCGTGCATAACAAGTGACCGAGGTATTATTATTATTAATAAAACGGCTGGGTATTTTGATAATAATAGAAGAGGAATATTTCTTATTCTGAAAAAAAAAAAAAAAAAGAATAAAAAAGAAAGAAAG